TATATACTCAAAATAAACTATTACTTACTACTTGTTCCTATTCGGAATTCGTGGATCTTCAGGGTACACATCCCCCGTGATAATCGAAGGACTATTGTATAAGGATGTAAGATATACACTAAGATATATGCTAAATGAATGATAAACAATATGCTAAAAGATCTAAGATATACGCTAAACACAATCATGTAAAACAATACGGTTTATTAAACAGCAGCCCGAACATGAGTCTGTAGTGAGTAGATGGGTATGATTGAATACAGCAGCATTGGATCAGCAGCAGCATTTAAAATGTTAGTTGCAATTTAAAACTTGTTTAATCAAAGACTTATTTATTCTTCTTCCTCTCTCCCTTAACTGTCTTTAATCCGTAGTCCCCTCCCTGTCAGAGCCGAGGCTCTTTTTTATTTGTCATAATGTGAATATGTCAACTGATGATACTTTATGCACCCATTTGATAAACATAGAGGTTAGAAGAACATTTTGTATCTTTGTTTAAAGACCTTAGATTAATACTGAATAAAACAGCTATAAAGCTACACTCAAATCAGGTGTGCAGTTGTGTTTTTATGGCAACAAACCTCCCAGTTTTCATTTGCAAACCTTGCCACAGGGGCAACATGTACCGGTAAGTACAGTTTCAGAGGCTGTTCAGTTTTATAGGCCAATGTGCATGCAAGCAATTTTTCTGTAATAGTATTTATCAATCCTGTTCCTTTGTGTTATGGACTAATGGTTAAAAGGAAAGAACAGCACAGAGTGTTCTTTCTGTAATCAGAAGGCCTGGCAGCAGGACGGCCAGCAGCCTCCTCTTGGAAGGAAGGAGGTCAGCAGGATGAGCCGGCTCTTGCTGGAGTCAGATCCTCAGCAGCCGTTCTCCGCCCTGCTTTCTTCCCAGTGGCAGCAAGGCAAACCCAGCTGAGGCACACACCGCTTCAGCTGCCTCGAACAACGCACTCTTTTATCCGCGGCGCTCATTTGAAATGCTAAAAGAGGCGCAACAGGAGGAAGCGTCTCGCCTCGGATCAAAGAGCCCCTTTGATTCTTCCCCCTTCCTTTTTATCTCTCCCTCTGCGCGGCATATTCATAAAGCAGATGATTGGCACCTTGTACTCCAGATGATTTTATGTCTTCTGTCTTCCGGCTCCTCCTCCTTACGCTAATTGCTCTCCTTTTTGTTCCACCTTGATCCTTTTCCTCCCTTTTTTTTTTGCTGCAAGAAAAGCACATCTGTTGAAGTAACACACAAGTGCAAAGATAAAAGGCCTCTTCCCTGCTTGCATTCTCTTTTTTCTGGCACCCATCTCCCCAACCCCCCACCCTTTAGATAACAGGAGCCATCCTGCTTGCAGTTGGAGTATGGGGGAAGCTGATGCTGGGCCCATACATCTCTCTGATAGCTGACAACTCCACCAATGCTCCATACGTCCTCATCGGCACCGGGACTGTCATCATTGTTTTTGGCCTGTTTGGATGCTTCGCCACCTGCAGAGGAAGCCCATGGATGCTGAAGCTGGTGAGACACTGAAAAAGAAGGGGGGGGGGGGGGGGGCCTGATATGTTGCAAGGAGAGTGAGAAATGTTCTGATTAATTAGCCTCAGGACACATAATACAAAGAATATTGGCTGACCTCTGTCCTGTACAGAGGGATGAGAAATCCAGTAGACATTGTAGGGCACTTAGTTCAGTTAATAGGGGTTAAGTGCGTGCGTGCGTGCGTGCGTGCGTGCGTGCGTGCGTGTGTGTGCAATTATAGGCAAATTGTATTCACCTGAGGCAGAGGTTGTCCATGCAAACGATGCAAACGTCCTGCTTGCTTCTTGTTTTTACAGTATGCCATGTTCCTGTCGCTCGTCTTCCTTGCCGAGTTAGTGGCAGGGATCTCTGGATTCGTGTTTCGCCACGAGGTCAGTATCGCCTCTGGAACAGCTCATCTTTTATTTTTGCGTAGAGGTTGTGTAAGTTTGAGTTGATTAATTAAAGCCTGTGCATTTGCACGCTGCAGATAAAAGGAACCTTTCGCAGGACTTACACCGACGCCGTCCTGAACTACAATGCTGAGGACGAGGCGAGCCGCGCTGTGGATAACCTGCAGCACAAGGTGAGGGGTAACAGCACGTTCAGACAAGGGCTTCAGACGACAGCTCATATTATTTGAAGTGAATTTAAAAAAGTTCAAGACACAAAACAACTGGACTTTATTTATAACTGAAGACGTTTTGCTTCTCATCCGAGTATCTTTCTCAATTTAAAGAACAAAGAGTGTGAGGTTCAAGTTACAAAGCTGAGCTAAACTAAATACATATGCAGATTGTCCTATCAAGCCTCACAATAGGGGTTCGTTAGAGTCTTTGTTAGTTTGACTCAAAGTGGAGCTGTTTGAAGTAGTGTTCTGTGGAAAAGTTAGGAACAAACAATATTTCACCTGTTGTGGATAGCCTTTGAACAACATCTGTTTGAAGAAATAGTTTAATTCTGACTGGATTAATGAGCTATTGGCTAGACTGAGCAGGGCCAAGACCAAAATGAGTTATTACCACCTTAAAACAACTTTTGTCTTTAAAAACTCAACTACAACTTTCATACTAGCCATTAACTCGTTAGTCTGGTAAGAATTAAAATCTTTTTCTTCAAACTGCGTTTGTTCAAAGAGTTATCTACAACAGGTAAGATCATTTTTGTTCAAAATTTTTAGACGTGCTAAAATGCAAACGTCTTCCTAAGAAGCAAGAGCTCTAAACACTGATCCACACTTTAATTCATTTAACTAGTTATTAGCCTCTGGTGAAACAGACTTGACCATAAATCCTGATGTTCTGTTAATTCAGCCTTCCCCTGGTTTTCTGTCTAGCTGCGTTGCTGTGGTGTTTACAACTACACCAGTTGGTTTGCCAGCGTGTATTACCCCTCCAACGGAATTCCTGCCAGCTGCTGCTTTAACGCCTCTGATTGCAACCCAGAAGATCTCCGCAATGCAACTGTAGCCCCGAACAAGGTCTACCACCAGGTGGGTTTACACTCTGTTCTGTTTTTTTCTTCTTCTCTATTTTCCATCAGCTTGCTGTTCGATAATCAATAAATCTCACAGTTAGGTGACATCTGACATTCTTAATGTACATTTTCAGTTCCATGCCTTCTTCAAGCTCTTAACAGCTGCCTGATACTTGCCCTTAATTTGCTCATATACCTGTACATCATATGCATGTTCATATACATCATATACATGCTCATATATATCATATACATATACATGCTCCTACATATCATATACATGCTCATACATATCATATACATGCTCATATATATCATATACATATGAATGCACATACATATCATATACATGCTATTATGCATCATATACAAGCTCATATACTGTACATGCTCATATACATCATATGCATGCTCATATATGTCATATACATGCTCATATACATCATATACATATACATGCTCATACATATCATATACATGCTCTTATGCATCATATACATGCTCATATACATATTCATGTACATCATATGCATGCTCATGTACATCATATACATGCTCATATATATCATATACATGCTCATATACATATACATGCTCATACATATCATATACATGCTCTTATGCATCATATACATGCTCATATATATCATATACATTCTCATATATATCATATACATGCTCATATATATCATATACATATGCATGCTTGTACATATCATCTACATGCTCTTATGCGTCATATACATGCTCTTATGCATCATATACATGATCATATACATGCTCATGTACATCATATGCATGCTCATATACATCATATACATGCTCATATATATACTCATGTACATCATATGCATGCTCATATATTTTGTACATCGTATACATGCTCATATATATCATGCACATATATATCATACATGCTCTTATGCATCATATACATGCTCATATACATGCTCATAT